AATTACTACCGCATGCGGCTTATTCTCCAGACTTGGCTCCGTCCGATTATCACCTGTTCGCATCGCTAGGACACGCTCTCGCTAACCAACGCTTCGATTCGTATGAAAATGTGGAAAAATGGCTAGATAACTGGTTCGCTTCAAAAGATGAAAAGTTTTTTTGGCACGGCATTCATAAACTGCCAGAGAGGTGGGAAAAATGTGTTCAAAACAGTGGAAATTATTTTGAATAAAGTATTATTTATCACTTTCGAACAACAGACGTCTTATTTGTATAAAAAAATTCCGGTTTCATACTTCTACACCTGGTATACTGTGCCCAAGTGTTCTCCTTCTCATTTTATCTTACTCTCGTATCTCTGTTACTCTAACGCTGCGCTTCATGCGCATCATGCGTGGAAACGGAACGCACCCATAGAATTTCAGTACTGGCAATGAATTTCAGAACACAGCCCTTGTTCCCACAATTGTAAGAACCGCGTATTTTTAAATAACCAATTAATTAATTTTTTTAAAGAAAATGTTTCTTATTATTAAATAAATTATTTATTATAAACGTAAAAGAAATATTATCTACAAGAAAAATGTTTACTACCAGACATATATATAGCAGATATTTGTTATCAATCTTTTTAATTAAATTCTTATTTATTTCTTTTTTATTACGTTGTTTTTAAAGCATTATTACTGATTTTGTCCTCAATCTGATATGTCCTCAAGCAAGTGCCATTTAATCGATATTATTTATATTTTATTTAAAAAATTCGCTTATCGCCTTGGTTGGGCCTGAATTCGGGAGATTTAGATTGAACTCACAAGGGAACTGTCTATACGCGTCATGTTAGATTTGGCTAATCTTTATATATATTGTAGTAATCCCTTTCCTGTAAATATAGTTCGTATAATTGTTGCCAATAAGCACTAATTTACGAGAAATTAGAGTTAAATATTTTTCTATTCGCCTAGAGTACCGTTTAAATAGAAACGAGATTGAAGGAGCTAGTGTGGCGCAGCGAGTAAAGAGCGCAGCTAGAGAATGCTCTGAACGTCATGTGTTCGATTCCGACTTGTTCTAACTTTTTTTTATTTTTCTGAAATATGAAATAAAATAAATTATTAATATATGAATTAGCTAACTATTATCCCAGTATTATTATCATTTGCATTTGTTAAACAGAATTGTACGAAAAGTAATGAGATACGCCTATCAACGAATAAATAAATTATTCTTTTAAAGTTCGGGAAGGGATTTTATTTCAACATTACTAGTCGTTATATTACTTTGGAATGCTTGCCTGATGAAGTTTTAAGATTTGCATCCTATGGGAACGGCCTAACAGTTGTATCGTTTTTGCTACCTATGGACCCGTTTCTTTCACGCTCAGTGTATAGTGGAGGGGTGATGGAAAAGAACTTTCCGCAGGTAGCAAAAATATAATAACGATACCACTGTTAGGTCGTTCCTACAGGACACAAATTTTAAAACTCTATCAGGCAAGTATTTCAAAGTAATATAACGAAATGTTAGTAACGTAATGTTGAAATAAAATCCCTTCCCGAACTTTAAAAGAATAATTTATTTATTCGTTGATAAGTGTATCTCATTACTTTTCGTACAGTTCTGTTTAAAAAATGCGAATGATAATAATACTGAGATAATAGTTGGCTAATTCTTATTTTAATAATTTATTTTATTTCATATTTCAGAAAAATAAAAAAAAAAGTTGGAGCAAGCCGGAATCGAACGCATGACGTCGAGCGTTCTAGCAGCGCTCTCTACTCGCTACGTCACGCTGGCTACTTCAGTTTCGCCTCTACTTAAACGGTACTCTAGGCACATGGAAAACTTTCAACTCTGATTTCTCGTAAACTAGTGCTCGTTGGCAATAGTCATATGAGCTGTCATTTGAGCAGAAAAGAATTACTACAACATATATAAAGATTAGCCAAATCTAATGCGGCGCGTATAGACAGTCCCCTTGTCAGCAA